AGTACTGCCATCTAAATGTCCTATCTCCAATCCTTTGAGTTCGTAACTCTTTACAAGTCGTTCCTGACCCATTGTTCGTAGAACGACTGTTGTTTTCCGTGCTTTGGGATTCAGCTGTCTCATTAGATTCTCTGTGCAGAATGACACTGAACTGCCGGGATCAAGAAAAGCATAGGTTGAGATAAACTTATCTCCTTTGTGAACCTTGACTCGAACAGGCACTATGGCTAGGGCACAATCCCTACCGGCCCCAGTAGCTTCACCAGCCGAGACAAGTGCACTGTTGACCCAAGCTCCTTTTGTTTCAGTAGGGGGAGGCTTTGGTAGAAGAGGACTGTCAATGTGAAGTATTGTTGGGTGACTCTTTTGACACTTTTGACATGTCAGCCTTTTCCTACAGGTCCTGCTCATATGACCCCTCATCAAACATCCAAAACAATAACCATTCATCTTCAAAAAGTAAACCTTTTCCTTGTGTGGATGATGTTTGAACTGATGGCAGTCAGTCAGCACGTGCTTGCCTTTACAAAAGTAGCAAGAAGAGGCAGGACTGCCCCCTAGTGGCTGTTTGAAGGTGTTACGCTGCTCTGTGTTTGATGGTGCAGCGCTGCTCTGTGTTTGAAGGTGTTACGCTGCTCTGTGTTTGAAGGTGTTACGCTGCTCTGTGTTTGAAGGTGCCACGCTGCTCTGTGTTTGAAGGTGTTACGCTGCTCTGTGTTTGAAGGTGTTACGCTGCTCTGTGTTTGAAGGTGTTACGCTGCTCTGTGTTTGAAGGTGTTACGCTGCTCTGTGTTTGAAGGTGTTACGCTGCTCTGTGTTTGAAGGTGTTACGCTGCTCTGTGTTTGAAGGTGTTACGCTGCTCTGTGTTTGAAGGTGTTACGCTGCTCTGTGTTTGAAGGTGTTACGCTGCTCTGTGTTTGAAGGTGCCACGCTGCTCTGTGTTTGAAGGTGTTACGCTGCTCTGTGTTTGAAGGTGTTACGCTGCTCTGTGTTTGAAGGTGTTACGCTGCTCTGTGTTTGAAGGTGTTACGCTGCTCTGTGTTTGATGGTGTTACGCTGCTCTGTGTTTGAAGGTGTTACGCTGCTCTGTGTTTGATGGAGCAGCGCTGCTCTGTGTTTGAAGGTGTTACGCTGCTCTGTGTTTGAAGGTGCCACGCTGCTCTGTGTTTGAAGGTGTTACGCTGCTCTGTGTTTGAAGGTGTTACGCTGCTCTGTGTTTGAAGGTGTTACGCTGCTCTGTGTTTGATGGTGTTACGCTGCTCTGTGTTTGAAGGTGTTACGCTGCTCTGTGTTTGAAGGTGTTACGCTGCTCTGTGTTTGATGGTGTTACGCTGCTCTGTGTTTGTTGGTGTTACGCTGCTCTGTGTTTGAAGGTGTTACGCTGCTCTGTGTTTGAAGGTGTTACGCTGCTCTGTGTTTGAAGGTGTTACGCTGCTCTGTGTTTGAAGGTGTTACGCTGCTCTGTGTTTGAAGGTGTTACGCTGCTCTGTGTTTGAAGGTGCCACGCTGCTCTGTGTTTGAAGGTGTTACGCTGCTCTGTGTTTGAAGGTGTTACGCTGCTCTGTGTTTGAAGGTGTTACGCTGCTCTGTGTTTGATGGAGCAGCGCTGCTCTGTGTTTGAAGGTGTTACGCTGCTCTGTGTTTGAAGGTGCCACGCTGCTCTGTGTTTGAAGGTGTTACGCTGCTCTGTGTTTGAAGGTGTTACGCTGCTCTGTGTTTGAAGGTGTTACGCTGCTCTGTGTTTGAAGGTGTTACGCTGCTCTGTGTTTGATGGTGTTACGCTGCTCTGTGTTTGATGGTGTTACGCTGCTCTGTGTTTGAAGGTGTTACGCTGCTCTGTGTTTGAAGGTGTTACGCTGCTCTGTGTTTGAAGGTGTTACGTTGCTCTGTGTTTGAAGGTGTTACGCTGCTCTGTGTTTGAAGGTGCAGCGCTGCTCTGTGTTTGAAGGTGCCACGCTGCTCTGTGTTTGAAGGTGTTACGCTGCTCTGTGTTTGAAGGTGTTACGCTGCTCTGTGTTTGAAGGTGCAGCGCTGCTCTGTGTTTGAAGGTGTTACGCTGCTCTCTGTTTGAAGGTGTTACGCTGCTCTGTGTTTGATGGTGTTACGCTGCTCTGTGTTTGAAGGTGCCACGCTGCTCTGTGTTTGAAGGTGCCACGCTGCTCTGTGTTTGATGGTGTTACGCTGCTCTGTATTTGAAGGTGCCACGCTGCTCTGTGTTTGAAGGTGCCACGCTGCTCTGTGTTTGAAGGTGTTACGCTGCTCTGTGTTTGAAGGTGCAGCGCTGCTCTGTATTTGAAGGTGCCACGCTGCTCTGTGTTTGATGGTGTTACGCTGCTCTGTATTTGAAGGTGCCACGCTGCTCTGTGTTTGAAGGTGCCACGCTGCTCTGTATTTGAAGGTGTTACGCTGCTCTGTGTTTGAAGGTGTTACGCTGCTCTGTGTTTGAAGGTGTTACGCTGCTCTGTGTTTGAAGGTGTTACGCTGCTCTGTGTTTGATGGTGCAGCGCTGCTCTGTGTTTGATGGTGCAGCGCTGCTCTGTGTTTGATGGTGCAGCGCTGCTCTGTGTTTGAAGGTGTTACGCTGCTCTGTGTTTGAAGGTGTTACGCTGCTCTGTGTTTGAAGGTGTTACGCTGCTCTGTGTTTGAAGGTGTTACGCTGCTCTGTGTTTGATGGTGCAGCGCTGCTCTGTGTTTGAAGGTGTTACGCTGCTCTGTGTTTGAAGGTGTTACGCTGCTCTGTGTTTGAAGGTGTTACGCTGCTCTGTGTTTGAAGGTGCCACGCTGCTCTGTGTTTGAAGGTGTTACGCTGCTCTGTGTTTGAAGGTGTTACGCTGCTCTGTGTTTGAAGGTGCCACGCTGCTCTGTGTTTGAAGGTGTTACGCTGCTCTGTGTTTGAAGGTGTTACGCTGCTCTGTGTTTGAAGGTGTTACGCTGCTCTGTGTTTGAAGGTGTTACGCTGCTCTGTGTTTGAAGGTGTTACGCTGCTCTGTGTTTGAAGGTGCCACGCTGCTCTGTGTTTGAAGGTGTTACGCTGCTCTGTGTTTGAAGGTGTTACGCTGCTCTGTGTTTGAAGGTGTTACGCTGCTCTGTGTTTGAAGGTGTTACGCTGCTCTGTGTTTGAAGGTGTTACGCTGCTCTGTGTTTGAAGGTGCCACGCTGCTCTGTGTTTGAAGGTGCCACGCTGCTCTGTGTTTGAAGGTGTTACGCTGCTCTGTGTTTGAAGGTGTTACGCTGCTCTGTGTTTGAAGGTGTTACGCTGCTCTGTGTTTGAAGGTGTTACGCTGCTCTGTGTTTGAAGGTGTTACGCTGCTCTGTGTTTGAAGGTGCCACGCTGCTCTGTGTTTGAAGGTGTTACGCTGCTCTGTGTTTGAAGGTGTTACGCTGCTCTGTGTTTGAAGGTGTTACGCTGCTCTGTGTTTGAAGGTGTTACGCTGCTCTGTGTTTGAAGGTGTTACGCTGCTCTGTGTTTGAAGGTGTTACGCTGCTCTGTGTTTGAAGGTGTTACGCTGCTCTGTGTTTGAAGGTGTTACGCTGCTCTGTGTTTGAAGGTGTTACGCTGCTCTGTGTTTGAAGGTGTTACGCTGCTCTGTGTTTGAAGGTGTTACGCTGCTCTGTGTTTGATGGTGTTACGCTGCTCTGTGTTTGAAGGTGTTACGCTGCTCTGTGTTTGAAGGTGTTACGCTGCTCTGTGTTTTGAAGGTGTTACGCTGCTCTGTGTTTGAAGGTGTTACGCTGCTCTGTGTTTGAAGGTGTTACGCTGCTCTGTGTTTGAAGGTGTTACGCTGCTCTGTGTTTGAAGGTGTTACGCTGCTCTGTGTTTGAAGGTGTTACGCTGCTCTGTGTTTGAAGGTGTTACGCTGCTCTGTGTTTGAAGGTGTTACGCTGCTCTGTGTTTGATGGTGTTACGCTGCTCTGTGTTTGAAGGTGTTACGCTGCTCTGTGTTTGAAGGTGTTACGCTGCTCTGTGTTTGAAGGTGTTACGCTGCTCTGTGTTTGAAGGTGTTACGCTGCTCTGTGTTTGAAGGTGTTACGCTGCTCTGTGTTTGAAGGTGTTACGCTGCTCTGTGTTTGAAGGTGCCACGCTGCTCAGGTCCACAGGTCCACAGGTATTTACAATCCTCCTCCAATGTGAGCATCGCCGTTATGATTTCCTTTTAGACTTTAACACGTCCGACATTCCAATCAATGCTACACGGATTTATTCTCTTTATTTACTCACGACCGGCCGAGTCTGTCCGCTCCGGCGTGTCCCTCTTTCCCGGGGATCCAAACGGTGTGTCTCTTCCTTACGGAGTGTTTCCACTTGATGTAATGGCATCAAGGGTTTCCCACTGCGGGACTTTTTATCGGTACTGGAGACATTTAAAATATGTCATATGTGTTATTGCTACATAAACATTATATCGCAGTTTTAGTTTCACCAACTCCGTTTCTAATATGCAATAAGACTACAACATGCGTCTATGATGTATCTTCGATCTTTCCAATCCAGACGAGATCTCTCTCTCCCGTCTGTGTGCGAGGGGGCCGTTTGTAAAGGTCTCCTGACTGTATTACAGACTGTCCTCCTGGTTACTCTGGGTTCTGTCTTCAGGACAGTGTTGGATTGTTTTGTTAATTGGATGGGACTTGATTGGATTCAATGTTAGAGTAATCTTCTCGTTTGTGTGTTTGTTTAAATATATTTGGCCTTTGTTTCTGTGATTGAATGATTTACTCAAATAAAAAGGTTGATGAATTATCATCTAATGATTTGTATGATGTTTTATTTATGTTAAAGGTCACTTTGAATGATTTTAACTAATGATAATGTAGAAAAACTAACATTTTAAATTCGGGACGGTCCACATTAATTTCGGGACGGTTCCGGGAGGATGGGGAAAAAAGTTAGTCGAGAGCCCAGGTGTGTGTGTGACGTGTGTGTGTGTGTGATGTGTGTGTGTGTGACGTGTGTGTGATGTGTGATGTGTGTGTGTGTGTGTGTGACGTGTGTGTGTACCTCCACGTCCTGCACGCTGCGGGGCTGGGCCTGACACAGTGTGCTCAGCAGCAGCAGGATCAGCTCCTCGATGTACTGAAGAGCCCCGAGCTGAGACACCAGGTTAGGATGCACCTGGTGGAGCACCTGTACGCACGCACAAGCACACACACACACACACACACACACACACACACACACACACACACACACACACACACACACACACACACACACACACACACACACACACACACACACACACACACACACACACACACACACACACACACACACACACACACACACACACACACACACACACACACACACACACACACACACACACACACACACACACACACACACACACACACACACACACACATTGAAAGGTAATAAAGGTAATATACTTCAGATTAAAAGTGTAATCTTCACATCACAATAATATTAATAATATATACAAAATACAGCTTCAGTGTGTGTGTGTTGTGTTTGAGCACATAGACCTGCATGTTTCTGATGGACTGACAACAACAGGACTCTACAGGTCAGCGTTTACATGTAAACACCAGAACTGAACTGAGATCAGATCCACAGACGAGAGACCAGTCCTGAGACTAGCATTAGCATCAGAGAGCGAACCTATCATCTCCTGTAAAGATGATGGGTTAGCTTTCTGATGCTAATGCTAACACATTAGGTATCCTGTGTGTGTGCGTGTACCTTCTCCAGAGAGGGCACTAACAGGCTGTGTGTGTGTGTGTGTGTGTGTGTGTACCTTCTCCAGAGAGGGCACTAACAGGCTGTGTGTGTGTGTGTGTGTGTGTGTACCTTCTCCAGAGAGGGCACTAACAGGCTGTGTGTGTGTGTGTGTGTGTGTGTGTGTGTGTGTGTACCTTCTCCAGAGAGGGCACTAACAGGCTGTGTGTGTGTGTGTGTGTGTGTGTGTGTACCTTCTCCAGAGAGGGCACTAACAGGCCTCTCCACTTGAAGCTGTTCTCCTCGCTGAAGAAGTCGTACTGCAGCGGCAGCGCCTGCATGGTGCCGCGGGATCACATCCAAACCGGACCCGGACCTGAGACCCTCCTCCAGGGGGAGATCACCGGGGGGAGGGCATCTCTCCGGTGTGTGATGTGCGGGACCCGGTCTCTCGGTACTCTGTCCCCGGTCTCTCGGTGCTCTGTCCCCGGTCTCTCGATGCTCTGTGGCCGGTCTCTCGGTGCTCTCTCCCCGGCCTCTCGGTGTTCTGTACCCGGTCTCTCTCACGACTCTCCCCGGGCTCCTGTCAGTCTCTATTTACCGGACGGTCGGTTGTTGTGTCTCCGGTGTGCGGTACTGTGGAGCAGACTGCACATGCGCACTTGGCAGACTGACGTAGATGGGCGGGGATCTGAGTGGGTGTGCGCGTGGCAGTGACGTCAGCTGTCCCCCGCGGCCCCCGGCGGTACTGCAGCTAAACCCCGGTTATTAACAGCAGTATAAACCCATTGACATCAGGACAGCAGAAAGCTTACACATCTTCCGGCGCAGACTGAAAACAAAACAAAAATCTCTTTCGACTCCACTTCGAGCGATACTAACAAAGCACTTATATACTAATAAAGGGCTGGCTTATCTATAGCCAGTTGAGTAGCACTTGAAATGTTTGGCTCTATGAAACCTGATGTCCGGTTAGGATGTATTAGAAGGAAATCTAAAATGAAAATTGTAAATAAGCAATCTGTATGTAAAAAACCACCTGTATGTAAATTGTAAATAAGCCATCTGTATGTCAAATATGTCTTATATGACATGATGAATTGGAAATGGGGGACCCTGATGTAAACAAGACGAAAGTCTTTCTCTGGTCTGCATCCCCTTAACAATTGTATGTTTTGAGCTGTACTGTACTGTACCCAATATACAAGCTGTTAATAAACTTTTCAATCAATCAATCAATCAATGTTTATTGTAAGTCACTTTGGAAAAAAGCGTCAGCTAAATGCAATGCAATAAAGACCCTCTTCAGGATTATCAAACACATTTCTATTAAAAATGTAAACATATTTTGTTTCCTGATCTCTGACTTCTCATTATATCTACATATGTGACTATCTCATTATTTGACTCTGTTTCTGTTCGGCACCAACACAGCAAGCTCTCTGTTGTTTCTGAAAGCACTCATATATTCTTTATTTAGTTTGACCTGTAAATGATGATAGGTAAACATCCTGCTGTCTCTTCCAATCACACAGGAGTCACAGTCACTGGTGTTTATTGGACTACAGAGCATCACGTGATTATAACATCTGGAAACACAGCTGGGCTTTATCTACAGCTGGACGGCCAGCAGAGAGGGTATCAGGGAGAATGAGAGGGTATCCGAGGGTCAAGAGAGGGGGTATGAGAGGGTAAAGGGGGGGTATCATGGCGTATGAGAGGGTAAAGGGGGTATCAGGGGGTATGAGAGGGTAAAGGTAGGGTATCAGAGGGTAAAGGTAGGGTATCAGAGGGTATGAGAGGGTAAGGGGGACTATCAGAGGGTAAAGGTAGGGTATCAGAGGGTAAAGGTAGGGTATCAGGGGTATGAGAGGGTAAAGGTAGGGTATCAGAGGGTAAAGGTAGGGTATCAGGGGTATGAGAGGGTAAAGGTAGGGTATCAGAGGGTAAAGATAGGGTATCAGGGGTATGAGAGGGTAAAGGGGGAGTATCAGAGGGTAAAGGTAGGGTATCAGAGGGTATAGGGGGGGTATCAGAGGGTACAGTCAGTCCATGAAGCCCAGCAGCTGATCCGGTCTGTTAGAGTTCTTCAGAGTCAGCATGGGGTCCATAGACTGCAGTTCATATACTCTCTAAATAAGTAAAAAACAGAAGATGCTGTATATACATCTGTCTGTCTGTCTGTGTGTGTGTGTGTGTGTGACCCTGAAACATCTCTCTGAACATCTGTAGAGGTACTCTCTCAAACCTGCCCTCCTAACCCTCTGCACAAACTGACTCTCAGTTTAATCACATCTCTGTTTACATCCTGCTGCTTTAACTCTGTGTTTATACTGAGGAAGGCTTTAGTGCTGGGACGTCTGGGTCAGAGCTGAGCTAATGCTGAGCTAACTCTGAGCTATCAGAGCTGAGCTAACGCTGAGCTAACACTGAGCTATCAGAGCTGAGCTAACACTGAGCTCTCAGAGCTGAGCTAACTCTGAGCTATCAGAGCTGAGCTAACAGAGCTGAGCTAACACTGAGCTATCAGAGCTGAGCTAACTCTGAGCTATCAGAGCTTAGCAAACTCTGAGCTATCAGAGCTGAGCTAATTATTGAGCTAACTCTGAGCTATCAGAGCTGAGCTAACGCTGAGCTAACACTGAGCTATCAGAGCTGAGCTAATGCTGAGCAAACTCTGAGCAATCAGAGCTTAGCTAACGCTGAGCTAACACTGACCTATCAGAGCTGAGCTAACGCTGAGCTATCAAAGCTGAGCTAACACTGAGCTAACAGAGCTGAGCTAACGCTGAGCTAACACTGAGCTATCAGAGCTGAGCTAAAGTTGAGCTAACACTGAGCTATCAGAGCTGAGCTAACGCTGAGCTAACGCTGAGCTAACACTGAGCTATCAAAGCTGAGCTAACGCTGAGCTAACACTGAGCTATCAGAGCTGAGCTAACACTGAGCTATCAGAGCTGAGCTAACGCTGAGCTAACACTGAGCTATCAGAGCTGAGCTAACGCTGAGCTAACACTGAGCTATCAGAGCTGAGCTAACACTGAGCTATCAGAGCTGAGCTAACACTGAGCTATCAGAGCTGAGCTAACACTGAGCTATCAGAGCTGAGCTAACGCTGAGCTATCAGAGCTGAGCGAACACTGAGCTATCAGAGCTGAGCTAACGCTGAGCTATCAGAGCTGAGCTAACACTGAGCTATCAGAGCTGAGCTAACACTGAGCTATCAGAGCTGAGCTAACGCTGAACTAACACTGAGCTATCAGAGCTGAGCTAACGCTGAGCTATCAGAGCTGAGCTAATGCTGAGCTAACACTGAGCTATCAGAGCCGAGCTAACACTGAGCTATCAGAGCTGAGCTAACACTGAGCTATCAGAGCTGAGCTAACACTGAGCTATCAGAGCTGAGCTAACGCTGAGCTAACACTGAGCTATCAGAGCTGAGCTAACGCTGAGCTATCAGAGCTGAGCTAATGCTGAGCTAACACTGAGCTATCAGAGCCGAGCTAACACTGAGCTAACACTGAGCTAACTCTGAACTATCAGAGCCGAGCTAACGCTGAGCTAACTCTGAGTTAATGCTGAGCTAAAGCTGAGCTAACTCTGAGCTATCAGAGCTGTGCTAACTCTGAGCTATCAGAGCTGTGCCAACACTGCGCTAACACTGAGCTAATGCTGAGCTAACTCTGAGCCAACGCTTACGGTCCATCCACACGGCGGCGTGCGTTGAAGCTTCAATGCTTCTTCCCATTCACTTTGAATGGGGTGACGTCACGCTTTGCCGAACTGCATTGTGGTTCCGTAGCTTCGCTTTGCCTCCGTTGCTCGCTTCAAAAGTTGAGAAAAGTTCAACTTTTGAAGCTTCGACGGAAGCGTCAGCCAATCAAATCATATGCCAGTACAGGCTCTAGCCAATCAAACCGCGTGCTTGTGTGTCCGGGGCGGGAGATTAATGTGATTGGTTGTTGGTCGAGCTTCAGACACATGCTGCCGTGTGGACGCTGCGTTAGCTAACACTGAGCTAACACTGAGCTTACGCAGAGCTAACTCTGAGCTAACGCTGAGTCAGACAGTCTCCAGACTTACTGTTGTTTCCTTCCGACAGCCCTACAGTGTGTGTTGTGACATCATCATCATCATCATCATCATCATCATCATCATCAACAACATCAACAACAACATCATCATCATCATCATCATCATCATCATCATAACATCTCAGCGTCAGACGGACCCTGTTGAATAAGGGATATTTATATATGTATGTGTACTCTGGGTTAGGCTGGAATCTGTGGGACTCCTGCTCTTATATATTTATAATTAATTATCAGTTTCCTGTGTGGGGGGGTCCGTTTGGTATTTACAGAGTGGGGGGGGTCCGTTTGGTATTTACAGAGTGGGGGGGTCCATTTGGTATTTACAGAGTGGGGGGGTCAGTTTGGTATTTACAGAGTGGGGGGGTCAGTTTGGTATTTACAGAGTGGGGGGGTCCATTTGGTATTTACAGAGTGGGGGGGGTCCATTTGGTATTTACAGAGTGGGGGGGTCAGTTTGGTATTTACAGAGTGGGGGGGTCAGTTTGGTATTTACAGAGTGGGGGGGTCTGTGGTGCAGTGGATAGAGCCTTGGTGTTTGGATCAGGGAGCACAGGTTCAAACCCCACTGCAGTCAACATGTCGTTGTGTCCCTGAGACGCTTCACCCCAAAGTGCTCCTGTGGGGATTGTCCTCAGTGTTGAGTATGGAAGTCGCTTTGGATAAAAGCGTCTAACAAGTGACATGTGATGTCATGTAATGTCAGAGTGGTATTTACAGATTCCTCCCAGCATGCAGAGGGGCTGATGTTCCCCTGTTGGAGACCCTGAAGTCCTCTGAGGTGAACCTGTTTCTCACGTCATAATAAACGTGCAGGTTATGCAGGGCGGGGGTTATAAAGTGCACACATTGGTGTATTCTGATTGGCTGCAGTTAGCCTGTTAGCACGTTAGCTGCTGCAGCTAGCCTGTTAGCACGTTAGCTGCTCTGGTGCTCTGCATTACGCAAACTTCTCTCCTGGGGGGGGGGCATTAACTCTGACAACATGAGGGGGGGAAGGTCATACATAAATACATATGTTCAGCTTGCCCTGATTAGCTGAGGAGGTTAGCGTAATGAGAGGCTGTGATTGGCTACGCCCAGAAGTGATGTCACAGTGTACCACAGTGCACCTGAAAATCACTGCAGCCACAGAGTCCTGAATACTGATAGAGTGTGTGTGTGTGTGTGTGTGTGTGTGACGTGTGTGTGTGGACACACAGTCTTACAAACACTTTGCTTCAGGTTAACATTGCCTTACATTAGAGAATCGGTCACATGACCCGGTTGATTGACAGCTCAAACATGACCCGGTAAATCTGTTGGAGGAGGAGCCTGTGACCTCAGATTTTCATTGACATATCTAAACTGTAGCTATGTACAAATGACATTCAAAGCCTTGAATCTTGAATGACAGCTCGTCACATGACCCGGTTGATTGACAGCTCAGACGGAGGACTCTCTGATTGACAGCTGGTCAGATGACCCTCTGATTGACAGCTCGGACGGAGGACCCTCTGATTGACAGCTCGGACAGAGGACCCTCTGATTGACAGCTCAGAAGGAGGACCCTCTGATTGACAGCTCAGAAGGAGGACCCTCTGATTGACAGCTGGTCACATGACCTTCTGATTGACAGCTGGTCAGATGACCCTCTGATTGACAGCTCAGACGGAGCTCGCCCTGCTCTTGCCCCCCGTCTTGCGGCGCAGAAAGGGGGCGGCGGCTCCCAGGCAGCCTGCGGCGGCGCTGAGGGTCAGGCTCGCCCCGGCGCAGCAGAGAGACCATCCGAACCCGTGGTCCACGTCAGGGGGCAGCCCGTAGATGAAGGGGGGGTTCCTGGAGAGGTCGTAGGCCACGCTGGCTGCATACGTGCACAGGGAGATGGTGCAGAACACCCCTGACACCAACGAAGAAGAAACAGAAGCACAGGGAGGTCAGGGGGAGACAATAACAGCAGTTATTATTTCCTCAGATATCATAAAGTATTATAATAATAATCAGAAGGACGCCCACCTGCCATGAGGAACAGCAGTCCGGACACATGCTGGGTGAGACTCTCCTCCCAGTAGAAACCCACTGACGCCACGATGCATCCGCACAGCAGCACCGCTACTGCCATGCCCAGGAACCCTGCTGTGATCCTGCGCAGGTCTGAGGACACACACACACACACACACACACACACACACACACACACACACACACACACACACACACACACACACACACACACACACACACACACACCTGAGTACAGGAACACAGACTGAGGACACACACACACACCTGAGTACACTACAACTGTCTTAATGAGACGACTAAAGTCATGTGACCGTGCTGTAGTTCCTTTATAGCCAAACATTAGCCTCCTTTAGCTTAGCGGTGGTGACGTGAAGTCATGTGACCGTGCTGTAGTTCCTTTATAGCCTAACATTAGCCTCCTTTAGCTTAGCGGTGGTGACATGAAGTCATGTGACCGTGCTGTAGTTCCTTTATAGCCCAACATTAGCCACCTTTAGCTTAGCGGTGGTGACGTGAAGTCATGTGACCGTGCTGTAGTTCTTCTATAGCCCAACATTAGCCTCCTTTAGCTTAGCGGTGGTGACGTGAAGTCATGTGACCGTGCTGTAGTTCCTCTATAGCCCAACATTAGCCTCCTTTAGCTTAGCGGTGGTGACGTGAAATCATGTGACCGTGCTGTAGTTCCTTTATAGCCCAACATTAGCCTCCTTTAGCTTAGCGGTGGTGACGTGAAGTCATGTGACCGTGCTGTAGTTCCTTTATAGCCCAACAT